TGCCTAAACACAACACCTGGGTGCTACAAACAGTGGATGCGCGGATTCCGGAGGGGGGGGTAGCATATATATATATATATGTGTATATATATATATATATCTGTGTGTCTCCGTCTTTCTTTCCCCAGGGCTGTGGTGGGGAGTTGCCTCCCCACCGCGCGCATCATGCGCCCCTGCCTGTTGCGGGTGGCAATGGTGAGATCTCTCACACACGTCTCTGTCTCTCTGTCTCTCTGTCTCTCTGTCTCTCTGTCTCTCTGTCTCTCTCTCTCTCTCTCTGTCTGTCTGTCCGTCCGTCTGTCCGTTTGTCTGTCTGTGTCCGTATCTGTCACTCTCTGTCTGTGTCCATCTGTCTCTGTCTGTGTCTGTCCGTCTGTCTCTGTCTGCTTTGCTGTCTGCTTCTCCAACTATCCATACCGATATGTGCATTCTCATGTGTAGTCTGGTAGCACTAGGACACAAAGAACAAGACCAACGCCATGAACGGTATAACATTACAACAAAGTGTTTCCAGACAACACGACGCGAGCCAACCGAGCTGCTGCCCTGCACCGGTCCCGTCGCGTCGCCTTGATGGTGACACCCCCCTTGCCGATGAGGTCGGGGAATACCGAGGGATGCACGGGAACGGCCTCTTCCTTGAAGTCCTCACAGAGAAGAACAAGGATCAAGCCCCGTATCACTCACCCTGCACACGACCCCCTTGCCCGGCGCTAGAAACGGGCCTCGAATGCCATGGAGCAATACCCCTTCTCCATCAGCTCCTGTGAGATCACGTCGGATGGCTCGGTTTAGTACGACAACGTGGTAGATACGACGTTTCTCTTCTTTCTTAGCCGCACAGCAGAGGCAACCGAAGGTCCTTAACGGCAGCATAAGCCATCTCCACAGCCTGCTATGCCGTTTAGGATCGTTGGGCACTACACACACGACATTTTGTTATCGAGTCAGCACGGCAAACAAGCGCCTGGCCGGAGCATCAAGAGACAAGAACACAAGCCAGGGTCATAAAATTCGAAGTAAGGTCACTAAGACCATGTTGCAAATCCGGCCCCTTAGCACAAAGCGCCTGCTGCGGTCCAACGATCGTGAACATCTCGCCGGACGTGTCGATACGCGTAACACCGGTCTTCTCCTGCGGGTTTAGGTCGAAGGGGATGCAGGTCTTCGAGTTTAGGAAATGCAAGGCCTTCTTTGGCTGATGGGAGCCGACTGAAAAATCGCAGACTCAAACCGTCGCTCAGAAAACTTGCCTGGATCAGCTTGATCTTGGACCCCTTGGGGCCGATGACGATGCCGATCCTTGACACGTTTGCGAGGATTTTCGACTTGCCAAATTCTGGAGGTCAGGGTAAGAATTCCAGGGATGACCGACCAAGCCGATAAACAGTGATTTCACGAGAGGCCACTGCAGCTGCTGAACAATTGAAAGGGAATCAGACTTGTGCATGCCCGGATGGCAAACCTGCTTGCGAGACGAAGCCAGTTTGAGAACTGGGAGCAGAATCAGAGCAACAAAGGGCTCCAAGAAGCCTCACTTCCCTGCAAAAAGATCCCGTGCTGTTCATAGCTCAACTATACAAGGCGAGGCAGGGAGCAAGTGACCCATCTCGCCATCCAAGTGTCTTGTTCTCCGGCACCTTGATCTGGGCAGTGTGCATGCTGGTCTTCTCTGCCTTGGCAGCGTTGCCAAAATAGTCCCAACCCCAACAGCAAAACACAACAGAACGCAGTATCACAGTATGATTCAGTATGATGTATACTACAGCATACGAACTGTCATTGAAAAACAAACGAGAATGAAAAGTTCTTTCCCTAGCTCGGCTGAGCAGATGCCTGGGGCCCTCCGAGGCCCACACGTTCTCTGCCTCCACCTGTGCCCGTGCGGCGGCGCCTGCAGCACCAGCAACGGAAGGATCCCTTGTGAGTCTCGGAGTTTCGGGGATTGGGCTGTCGGGATGTGAAATGTGTGTGGTCAGGAGCGGTCCGTGCGGAGATCGCTAAGCCTTTCCTGTACCTCACCAGTAAGAAAAGCAATCAACAAACGTTCTTGCATTAGCGAGTCATAGCGAGTCTCAACAGCAAGATTTTGCTCTGAAGCAGCCGCCTTTCTCCTTGACACCCGCCATGAATGCTGCGATCTCCTCCTTGGAGGCTGCCTCCACTCAAGAAACGAAGGCAGTGGGGCAAGTCGCGCAAGTCAGACGGGGTTTGATGATAGATCTCCTCGGTGTCAGCAGAAGCCAACTGCCAACATGAACCTCAACCCCTATCCTGATTGGAAAGGATTGACTGTTTGCATGGACCAAGGCGGCTCAGTTATTTAAGTCCGGCTCACAGGTTCATTGGACTCGGGTTTCAAACTTCTGCACTGATGTAGCAATATCTGCAACTTTCAAGCTTGCTGGGGTTCAGCAACCGATGTGTCCTCCCCAATTCGCTTGGCGCTGCTTAGACCGGACATCTCAAACGCCGCTAGACCCGTCAATGGTTGGGTTTGGGGGCAAGTAGTTTTGAGACGCCAGGCTCAAGGTGACTCAAAACCATGCATGCGGCCTTACACAGCGATCCGGTGCAGAGTTTGTGGTGGTGAATTCAGGGCTTAGGGCCACCGGAAGTGTCACTTGTTGCGCTTTGCCAAGTTGGAACATGATAAACAGGATCTTTGCTTCACTGTAACTCTCGACGCAGCAACTGCAATCGCAACTGTGCTCGTTGTCATCCCGTAAAGCAGGCAGGGACTTTGTAGCAAGATTTTCCGCAAGCCCACCCGCCCCGGTCATGCAAGCTGCTACCCGAACTACCCGTGGGAGCACCTTTGGCGCCGCCATGCCAGGAACAGTGTTCGTGGGCGCCTTGATGCAGCAAAGTGATTTGACATAAAGCGGGAGCTCTCACAACCTGCTTCATGGCTTCTCCGCAAGGCGGATGCTAGTTATGCTTTTACAAACCTCAAAGAATCATCACGCATCTGGACGTTACGTGGGTCTGGTCATTCTAGTCGGAGTGCAAATCAGCCACGGCCAAGGGCAACGGCACCGGCAGGATGCGTGAAAAGAAGCTGAAGCTGAAGCTGAGCATGGCAGGGACAAGACTGCAAAGACAAAACATCGTTCGAAGATCTCCAGGCGGACTTCGCTGAGGCCCCGGACCATGCCAGGCACAGTCTTCTTGGCCTGGGCTGCCTCAAAGGCCTTCGCGGGCAGCTCAAAAGCTAAGACCTCAACCCAAAAAACAGCTCTGATGGCCCATGGTGCCGCATTGCCTGCTCGCGCTTGCGCTGCTCCTCCTTCTCTTTCCTGGCTGAAAGATTGGCTTTGTTCTTGCACGCCCTGCCCGAAAGTCCTGCAGCTGCCGGACCCCTGAGCCCGAAGTCCTCTTCTCAGCCTTCTTCGACAGCCCCGTCGACTGCTCCCAGTCTCCTCCGGTGCCGTCGTCCTCAGGTGGCTTCGGAGCTTCATGCACGAGGCTGGGAGCCTGCCCTCCCTCCAGAGTATCCCAGACTCTCAAGAAATTGGATAGTGCTTCCATCGCACGAAGCGGCAGTGTTCAAGAAGAAGGCTTCCAGAACGAGGCTGCGCGTACTGAGGCCGTCACCATCTCGAAGGGCTGAACGAGATCCACACGGTCCTGCTTGTTCTCCGGCTCCTCGCCAAAAAGAGTGCACAGAATGTAAGTGGGCTTCGGCCAAGGACTACAACAGCGGCGCAACAGCACAGCTCACCATGCTCCCCTCCTTCTCTTCTTTCGGAGGTGCACCCTTCGCCTTGGCGCCCTGCTTGGCCGCAGGCTTCGGGGCCGCCTGCACCAACCCAAATCAGAGCGTGAGTGGAGACATGCGACACGGATAGACATACATACATATACATATACATGATGATCTATATACATATACACACCACACACATAATATAAAAAATATATATATATATATATATATTATATTATATATTATATTATATTATATATATATATGTCTAGCAACTGCTGGCAGAGTCCAGGCCTGGGCGGCCACCGGCGCCGGCGCCGGAGCCGGCTCGGCCTTGGCCTTCGCCTTCCCCTTCGCCTGCGCCTCCCAGGATATGGAATATTGGGTTTAGGGTTTAGGGTTTAGGGTTTAGGGTTTAGGGTTTAGGGTTTAGGGTTTAGGGTTTAGGGTTTAGGGTTTACCGAAATTCGGGTCCGTTTTTAGGGTTTCTTGAAGGGATCTATAAGGGGTTCTCTAGGGTTTCTATAGGGGTATTATGAGGGTGCCGTACCATATGGGGGACCTGAAAAGGGCCCCAATTTAGAGAACTGCCGATATAAGGAAAGAGCCAGAAAGGAGGGTAAGTTCGGAAGAAAGGGGGAGATGCGCCCAGCCTTGGGTTCCACCGGCGCAGGGGCTGGCGCCTTGGCCCCCGCCTTTGCTTTGGGATCTGCCTGCAAGGCACAGGAACTTCGAGGGTGCACTTGTGGAGCGCCGTCGGACGAGGAGCCTTCGCTGCCCCCTTTGGCTTGGCAGCCTTCGTCTGACTCATGAAAAGGGTACGTCTGAGTCTTTGCCCACGCGAGTCTCACGAGTCCCAAGCACCGGGCCTCTGGGGCAGCCGGGGCCTTCGCGGCCGCCTTGCCCTTGGCCTTGAAGGCTTGGCCGAGGTTTAGAAAAGAAGACTCAAAAAGAAGAGACAAAAAGAGCAACGGATCCCAGCTCCGGGATCCGCACCGCAGCGGCCTTCGGCTCCGGCTTGGCCGGCTCTTCCTGCGAGTGTCTGCATTGTCGCAGTCTCATCAGTCTCAACTTACTTGCATGGCATAGCAAAGCATGGCAGGTGAGGGAATGCCAGTCAATGCGCTTTCAGATTATGGCGCAGTCGGGATTTCGGGGTTTCGAAAGACTGCAGTGCTTTGAGGAGAGCCCTCTCTTCTGCGCCTTGGCTTTCGCCTTGGGCTTCGCCGCCTCGGAAATTCCAAAGCGAGCGAGCGAATCTGGTCTGGGCCGCTGACTTGCGAGCCCACCAAGGGCCGCACCGCTTTCGGAGCTTCTTTGGCCTTGGCCTACCGGACTGCGAGCTCCCAGCTCCCCTCCTGCCCTAGGCCCAAGCCATACTGTCACTTAAACATCCTCTCACCTCCCCATCCACGCAGATACCATCTAGCAGCCACAACACTAGATGGACTCTGACGGACCCAGCAGCCGAAAAGAAGCCACCGAACAAGCAGGCTGACTCACAACATGTGTGATCAAAACAAGCAGCAATGGCCAGCAATGGCATCAAAACAGAGCCTCCAAGCACTATGAAAGAACCCTTCCGTGGCCCTTAGAAAACCTTTGAAGAACCCTATGCCATGAACGCCCTTGCTGAAACCCACAGTAAACCGCAAGAATGACAAGGCAACTCCCCCAAGACCCCTAAGTCGTCTAGGGTTTAGGGTTTAGG